TATTTAGGTTTTCCACTTAAAATTAAGTCTTACAATAAGTTTTCTAGTGTATTAGTTCTTAAATTAATTTATAAATTTCATAAAAAATATTTTGATAGGGGAAAAATCATAATCATCTAATTATAAACATTTGTAAGTGATATAAATTTAGACTTAATAAAATTGAATTATTTTCAACACAGATGAGTGAATATAAGCTTGGCATGATAATCTGAAAGACTTAAAAATACTTTGGAAGACCTACTAGAAGACCTTCGAAGACTTCGGAAGACCTACTTAAAGTTTTCCTAAGTTAAAACTTTGGAAGATCTTCGAAGACCTCAGAAGAACTTGGAAGACCTACTTAAAGTATTTCAAAGTCTTCTTAAGTCTTTTAAAATCTTATAGGCGAATAGTAAGTTTTCTGGGCGAATAATAAATTTAATATATAGAAGACTTTTGGAAGACTTTCATGTAAGTCTTATAATAGAAGACTTACATGTAAGTTTAGAAGACTTAGAATTTTTGTTTTCATATATAAAGAAAATTTTACATATTCTCTTTCTTTCTTTCAAATGGTGGCAACAAAAATGTAATGTTTCTCACTTTATAACTTTCTAACATCTCCTTAAACTATTTGAATTTGACAACCAAACCTTATATCAATTTTTCATTTTTATGTGTTTCTCAATATTTTATCTTGTTTTTGCAGGTTTTTCATTATATAGTTGTCATCTTTCACTCATTTAAGGGTAGATCTATAAAAAAATTATATGTATTTTTGTATCTTTTATAAGTTAGATTCTAATAAGTTATAGAGTCAACATAATGTGATTGTTTTATATATTATTTAAGCTTAAAACAATTTATTTGAAATTTTTTTCTGTTTTAATGTCATTTGAACGTTTTTTGATGTTCAGGTTTTTTCAGATCTGAGGGCCTGAGGCAGACATTGGAAGATTTACAGAAAACTTCCAAAAGATTTTTCTAGAAGTATTCTGACATTGTCTTAAGTCTTCTGACGTTGTCTTAAGTCTTCTGACATCGTCTTAAGTCTTGTGACATAGTCTTCTTTCATGTTTCCACTTTCACAACAGATCTGAGCGTTTGGTAAGTTTTCATGTCTGATTTTTTATTTATTTAGTATTCTATTGTTGCATAAAATTCTTATATTTTTCCACACTAAAATTCTCCAACATCTTTTTAATCTCTTTAAACATGAAAACACCAAAAATTATATCAATTTCTCATTTTTATGTGGTTTTCACTATTTTATCTTGTTTTTGCAAGTTTTTCATTATATAGTTGTCATCTTTCACTCATTTAAGGGTAGATCTATAAATTTTTTATATGTATTTTGTGTTTTTAATATGTTAGATTCTAATAAATTATTGATTCAACATAATGTGATTGTTTTAGATATTATTTAAGCTTAAAACCATTGATTTTTGAATTTTTTCTCTGCTTGATGTCATTTGAACATTTTTGGATATGCAGATTTTTTCAGATCTGAGACAGAGATAAGACGTCGTCTTAAGTCTCTGACGACATCTTAAGTCTTTTGACGTCGTCTTAAATCTTCTAACGTCCTCTTAAGTCTTCTGGCGTAGTGTTAAGTCTTTTGACGTAGTCTTAAGTCTTCTGACGTAGTTCTAAGTCTTCTGGCGTAATCTTAAGTCTTCTGGCTTAGTCTTAAGTCTTCTTGGGAATCTTCTAACAAATTTTCTCTCATATCAAGTAGAGTCCAAGATTGTCTTTGTGGAGGAATGATCTATAAAGTTTTATTTGTGGTATGTTTTGTGATTTGTATGTGTACTCTTTAGTTTTGATTTTTTTTTGTAAATTTGAAAAAAAAATATTAATAAAAAATATGGTAAATATGTTTATTATCCAAAATTACTTCACATTATTAAAGTAAACAAGATGTAAGATATGTGCTAACAATGTGTTTTCCACTTTTACAAATCAAGGAAGTAAAAAATTTCATTGGCCTTTAGATTCAAAACATGATGTTCATTGTGTAGTTCTTCTCATCTTTGGATCTCTCATACTCTGCAAAAAAATATAAATTTGTAACTATAAACAACTTCTTCTCATTAACTTACAAAAGTTGTTCATCGCTTTAAACTCTTAAGAAGTAAAACCAACAAAGTCTTGTAAGAATTAAAACCACTAAATTTTATAATTATAAACAAGTAAAAAATGTAATGAGTTGGTTAACTCTTCCAACTTTATTTTCATGTACACATTATATACTTCTTGAAATTTAACACTTTTGAAAGTTAAAAAAACTTATTTTAAATTACTGAACATTTTTAAAAGTACAAGTTTACAAAAACTAATGTGGAAGACTTCCACAAAAGTCTTCTATCATTAGCTAGAAAAATTAAAAAACATGAATGTTGGTAACTTCATGATTATCACCAATTAAGTGATGATCATTCAGGACCTCAAATATTATCTAAAACACATGAATTAACAATAAAATATCAAGAATTCATTTTAAAGTTGAAAAATGAAAGTTTATTATACATTTTCATAGAAGACTTACATTGTCATAGAAGACTTCCAGGTAAACCTTTCATTTAGGTCATTTTTGCAATTGAATATTTGCAAAGGAAGACTTTGAGAGAAGTAGAGGAGACTTCTCTGGAAGTCTTCCTTTGTAAATATTGGCTTACTTTTTTGATACAAAAATTCTTGAAAATATCCGAGAAGATTTACTTGGAAGTCTTCTCAGATAAATAGATTAGTTTTATAATTGACTAATTTTTGTTAGAAATTTGACTTTCTACGGAAGACTTTCAGATAAGTCTTCCGCCAGAAGACTTCGGAAAACTTACCTGGAAGTCTTCTCAACCTTTAAATTAAGTTTACTCGATACGACGGAAGACTTTGGAAGACTTATCTGAAAATCTTCCATCAGAAGACTTACATATAAGTCTTCTTTGATTACCTTAGGTTTGACCTGAATCACGGAGTAAAAATCTGTAAGACTTCCAAGTAAGTCTTTGGGCGAAAAACTTATCTGAAAGTCTCCCAATTTAAATTAATTGTTTCAAGTTTAAACTTTCTATTGACAAGGTAATCTACGCAGATTTTAGGAGACTTAATTTAAAAGTTGAGAAGATTTTCAGGTAAGACTTACTTGAAAAATTTCCATAGAAAGTCAAATTTTTTACATAGATTGGTCAATTACAAAACCAACTTATTTATCTGAGAAGTCTTCTCAATTTTTTTTCATCAACAAAGAAAATTTGAAAAACATCAACGAAAATCTTCTCTAAAACACACACAAAAAATTAATTGCAAAAACTAACTTATTATTTGACCAGAAAATTTTGTTGAAGTCTTCTCGGCTGATATTTAGTACAACCAGGGAAGAAACATAGCACGTGTTGATTTTAGACAACAACAAAAGAGGGCCAGTCATATAAATAAGAATACTAGTCTTTTGGAAAATGATTTTAAACACAACACAGGTACATTATGTCTTACTGAAACTAATATAACGTATAGTTCAGAGTCTCTTTTTCAGGCAAAATCCTAAAGTCTTTGCATGTCCTTGATTTGGTAGTGAATCCCTTTGCAGACGTAGGTGTACTATATACATCTTTTCATTTTCTACGTACAGTCTTTAATTTATTTATTTTAAACGAATATATTAAGCTTGTCTTGAAATTTTGAATTCTAAAGTCTTTGGAGGCAATAATTGCATGGGATTTTTTTATGACACATTGATAGGTAACCTTATCCGTTAGCTCTTAAATTTTTATATACTTTTGAAAGTTATTTTCTTAAGAAATAGAGATTGCATAAAATTAATTTCTTAAGGTGTTCATTATCGTTATAACAGGCTGAAAATGGTTTATTCTCGATTTGTTTAGCAGTTTGATAAAAAGCTGAGCACAAACTAAGATTGAATCGGGCTTAAAATGCACAATGAACCAAAACCAATAGATATTAGATTAATTTGCTCAAAATAAAATAAAATTAAGCTAAACTAAACAAACTTCACGACCCTTATAGATCAACTGAGTATTTAGTATTTTGTTCAACAAGAATCCACACTGTATAGTGATCTAGCAAACTCCAGACAAGTTTAGTAATAGTTTGCTAGATTTGTTGATATGATGATAGCTAAAATACATGTAAAAAAGTAGTTGCTAGGGGGTTGAGGATAACTGTAACAGTACTTAGCCGCTAACCACTCAATCAGTGACACATTTCTGTTCTTGAGTTTACCGTTGAAAGTAATACATCCCACTTGCAGCTGTCCAGCATGGGGCTATCATGCATGCTGTACTATACACCAAAAATGGTCAATCCATTTTATTATTATTTTTTATTTGAACACCGAATGTAGAATGCAATTTTGTTGTTCGTATTTGTTAAAGTAGAATATTTGTTAATGTTGCTGGGTGGAATAATAACTAATGAATTAGCATTTTATGATTTAATTTTTGTCCTAGCTGTTTTCACCTATTAGATGATTGGATCAGTTCAAATGAATTAAATAAAAAAACTCATAGTAAAATTTATTAATGTAGCATGCACGTTGGTTAGGGATATACCCAGTAAATTTTAGGTAAATGACATTGAAAAAGTCATTGTAGTTGCTAGAGCTTTCGATTTATTCACTATATATACTTTTTTTTAAAATAAACAAGTTTCGTGTAATATAGCACTAGCAGCTCTTAGTCAAAAAAAAAATATAGGGCTAGGAGCACGAATTATTTTTGCACTATCATAAACACTAATATGAGATAATAAGCACTCGATGACCATATTCAGGTCCAAGTGAGAAGGAGCGTCCAATTTTAGGTTGTCATCAAGGTCTTGTCAGTTTGACCAGAACTAGAAATTTGTTTGTCCTTTTTACAATTATTTATACTGTTACCACGTTTATATCTACTTATATAAAGTAATAAATGTTAATTAACTCGATGTGTCCTATCAAGCTATATCTAAACATGGTTACATTTTTCTCAATCATCTTTGTCAGTCTTTTATTCATAGTACGGAAACATAGAATATAACTAAACATGGTTACATTTTTTCATACATCCTTCCATCCTCATGTTAATAATTATTTTATTCTTGCATCATAAACATGATTAACGTCTGCGGGCTGCGGTTTCTCTCTGCGCGTTAAAGAAGACAGCCGCGACAGGGAGACCAAGATCTTGCTCCATCGCAAATTTGCGAGTGTTGAACTGATCTCTTGAAGGAATGTTTGGGAACATTACATGTCTTTGCTTCTGCTTGAAGAGAACAAACACAAACCTGTGTATCCCTATATTTGGCCTTGGCAACTCATAGCTCACAACCTCTTTTCCTATACTTTCAATTTAATTATCTTTAGTTAACATGTGAAAATATATTTTATTATAAGAATTTAAACCATTGAAATTCATGACAAGCACGTACCAAATGTAGCATCCGTTGTACCGGGGATGTTTGTAACGATCCTGTTGTAAAATTTAAATGCAATTATTATCTTTATTGTTCAGGAACATCCTGGTTTTGTGATGAAATATAGTTTGTCCAACTCAACTCAAAGTTTATGAAACGAAATATTTAAGAACAACTTTGTTATTAGGGTTGGTTATTATTAATTTAAATGAATGGCATTATGGGATATGGTCCCAATATGAAACAACAAAAAGATGAACGTACCAATGCAGGTGTTCTTTTAAAAAGGGGTCACTAGGACCTGGAACATCAGGGTCTATCATCACCTGTTTTGCATTCCGATTGAATTTTCCATCAGTAAGAAATAAAATAGAAACGATAATTAAAGGTTAATACCAGCATCATATTATTTACAAAAACTTTCTAAGATTATTGATATGTCCCTCTTTCTTTTTCCATGGAGTCAGAAAATGGAAAATTTCTTAGACGGAAAGGAAGTGAGAATGAAAATGTTGTATAAGGACTAAAAAGCAGCAATCGATCTCAACAACATCTGTTGAATGTTTTAAAATAGTTTTGATACATATTATATACATACCAAGGTGAAGAAGGATCTGAGATCACCGCCATAGATCTCAACCCTAGGCTTGGAAGAGACAGAGGAAGGGAAAAGCTCATGGCCATTGGAGACTTGTTTCTTGTTGTAACTCACATTCATTTCAATTGTTTGAGTAAAAAAATCAAGAACATCTCCTACCACTCTTCCCACTATCAGTGGCTCTATCAGTCTACTTCCCATATTCTCCATTTTTTGTTAATGCTACTTTCTCTTTCTAATCAAATGTGGGATTAAAAGTGAGGTTAGGAAATATAGATATTTGTAGTGGTGTGGAATACAAAAGAAGACTAAGATATCTATTTATAGGGGTTTTCAACTTGGAGAGACATCAATAGAGCGAGAGCAAGACTAGAGATGTGTGTTAGGGGCTAAGAGCTATCTCCCTCTCTCAAATTTAAAGAATGAATAGACATCTACTCCCAATTATATACTAACCTTATCTTTCATAGTAGGAACTAAATTAGGGAGACGTAATGAGTATCTGCTTGTTATTTTTTTTTTCAAAAAGAGATACCATTTTCATTTAAGCCTCAAGGAAAGAGTTCATTACAATGACGATTTGACTAATAAAAGAAAAAGGATAGAAGCTTATGTGAAGCAAAATGAAGAAAATGAGATCGGATTAGTTGTGGAAATGCTCAAACAAGCGACTTAGAAACGTTTGACGATCGATGGGTGCGTGGTCTTTTGAGTAATTGCTTTTTAGGTGAGTTATAAACCTATATGTTTAATTGATCTCTGAGATTAATAAAGTTATGAAATTTCATATACTTAAAACTGTTCCAAATATGTTCATCATATTTGTTGACTGTGTTTTCACTTTTAAAAATAGACTGAGCTCATATATTCCAAATTAATAAAATAATGTAATATTAATTAATTCCATCATACTGGTTGGATTGGCTAATTGATCTAATTTACAATAAAACGACGAATATCATAGATAAGCAAATGTGACTTATTTTACCATCTTTTTTATCTTACCAACAACTCATAATTATCATACTTACAAAATAACAGAAAATGAGTTCTACAATGTCTTGACACATAAATTTAATAAAATATCCAGTTGTTGAATATATATATATATATAAAAAAAAAAACAAATTTCAAGTGCCTATTTGATCCTTTTCTAATAATTGTCCTCTTCCGAGTTGAGTACTTGAGTTAGAGATCTCATCTCTTACTCAGGATGAGTTAGAGATTCCATATAGTTTATTTTTTTATTTCGTTCTTAATTATCTTTTTCCAGCTTATATCAATTTCATGATTTCATGTGAACCCCTATGTTCAAGACTTTATATATGAAGAAAATCGCTACAATATTCATATATCGCTACAATAATTGAGTCCAATAGTTTATAGAAGAATCCTATAATCTTTAGTGACATCAAGAAGTTATATATCACTACAACATTTGAGTGGCCATTTCACCCAAAAAAACCATTTGAGTGGCCAAGACTATATATCAATAAAGAGCTAGATGTCCCGCTGAATAAATAAACTCGAGCGCTCTTTTGCTCGTCCATTTATTTCTAAAACAATATCACTACAAATCTGATTGGCCAAGATTAAGAAATTGTTATATTAACACTCTTATCGTACTTGATGCTATTACGACTAAGGATAAAACTATTGCCCAAAGGTCATTTCATTGTCGTAACATGGGACATTTTGTCCCTTTGCGTTAAGAATGAACCTAGTTTAAAACAAACAAAAATTAGTGGGCGCAAGCGCAACTAGTATGAGTTTAAATACCATCAATCATAATTCGTATAAAGGCATACTTTAATAAGCATACAAATATGACAAAAGCATATTAAGAAGTAATAAACCAAACAATTTTAGGTTAAAGAAAAATATCGATCGCATATTTGGGACTCGTTACTTAGGGAACGACAACGCATTGATTCTTCAAAAGAAATACCAATGAATAGCTTATTTATCAATATCAATAAATCCTTTATCAAAAAAAATAATCAATATCAATAAAACCAACAGTTCACGTGAAAAAACGATTCTTGAGATGGAGCATTTTTGTATGATGTGCACATGTATGGTGTAATTCTAAAGCCTTACGAAGTTCCACACATACAAAAAATCTTTGAAAGGAATATATATGTTAATCATATCATACCATGGAATCCACAAAATTTGTAGAATAGTATATTTAAAAAAAAAAAAACAGAAGGCCGTATGTAATATGATTGCAACATTACAGACAACTCTTTTAGTGGGAATTCTAATTAATATTTATGTAATAGATATTTCTCACATATGGCAAATCTTGGTTGAGAATTTACTCAGACTGGTAATTGATCAGAATAAAGGTAAAGCATAATGGGTGACTTATAATAAGCTTTGCTTAGATCATCACATCATAGAAAAAAAAATCAAATATTTCAAAAAGAAGCATCAATTAAACAAGTGGCCAACGTAAGCTTAAACCAAAAGAGGTAGCAAACTACATTGAAAGAATCATGACCCCTAAACTACAAACCGAATCTTTTCAATCTCCATGGCTCTTACTATTAAGTATTAACCCCGGCAAGAGATTTTTTGCCGTTGCATCTGAACATTTACAAAAGACCTTTCTCGCATCTAATGTTAAATGTCACACAATGAAATATACTGTGTGGGGGTCACTTCGATGACAAGTAAGGTTGTTTGTTTCCTTCTAAACCATAGTGAGCTTTAGACATGAGTGCAGTCCACATACAAAGGCTATAACCATGGTCAGGCTTAGTACGGATCATGCTAAAAAAGATAGCAACTGTGATTAAGATTTGAAACAATTAGAGAAGTAACTTGGAGAACATATTTATTTTTAATTATAACCAAAACAAGACTTTAAAGCTTTCAATATTCTATGAGACTTTTGGAGGGCTCAGGCCTGGTTCAATTAAATAGACCGGGAAGCAGATAACAGTTCTTGTTTGAATTCCACAATTTCAGTTGATGTCCTAAAATATTAACTAACCATTGCTTATTGGAATTACGAATGTACTAATCTATAAATTATTGATGTGCGGATGATGAGATTCAAACAAAGACCCAAAAGAGCCAGAACAAATATCAATCCAGGAATTGTCTTATAGCAACAACCAAACACAATCCAAGTGCGTAATCACTAATAAAGTAACAAGAAGCAAACAAAAAGAGACATTGGTTCTGTCCACCTGTGGAGGAAGAAGGAAGGAAGGTAAATTAACGAAGTCTCCTGGCTTCTCTCTCGGACTCGAGCAAGGTGAGGATGTCGCCTTCCCTCACAGGTCCTTTAACATTACGCATGATGAAACGATCAGAGTCCGTGAACTTCACTCTAACCTGAGTCACCTGACCCCTTGACCCCGTGCGACCCATCACTTTCACCACCACGGCGTGCTTAATCTGAGAATCCATTCTGATTCACAATACAAAACAAAACCAAATGCATACAAAACAGCATTAGTCTTACAGGACACTGATTCAAGACCTAAATGATACTCTCAATCGTAACCTCTAAGGACGAGATCAATTATTGCTGATTACGGATTGAAACAAACCAAACTACGAATCTTAGGTTCTAATCACTTATCAGAAGCGAAGTTATGTTCCATTATCTAACAAAACAGAGCGGAATTAACGAGAAATGAAACCTGGAGATGAAGGTGAGAGAGCTTTAGCGGCGGTAAGCAAAGAAGCAAAAACCCTAATTTCCAGAGACAATAGAATGAGGAGTTATCTTTGGTTTTTATAGTGGTGCTTAAAAACCAGGTTAACAAGTCTCGAGTCGGTTTTCAATTAACCGAATCGGTTCAGTTTTTTCCCGGTCTGTTTGGTTCATTAATTACGGCCGGTTCACTGAGCTCAGCGAATTTTCTACGCCTACGGCCGGCCCAATCAAAAGTCCATCGAACCAGTTAGAACTTGTATTTGTTTTCTATTAGGAACTTGTGGGAAGTATTTGTTTTGAATCTTACTTTGCATGCATCTAAGGCTTATTATTATTAGCTTCCTATTGTGATTCTAGGTTAATGCGTGAAGAGTTTTGTTGTTGTATTGTGACTGTCATTTTGGAGGGTTGGTACATAAATTAAGAAAATCGAGTTACCAGTAAGTTTGCTTAATATGAATGGAGTAAGGCACCTATAACAAGCCTAATAACAACCATTCTTCTCTGAGATATATAGTGAGATTCTATCTATTGGTTGATGGCAAAAATAGCCATTCGTTTGACTTTGAACATGTGGTTTATGACCTTTAGGTGGAGAATATAAAGCATATTTTAATGTATTACTACAAGGTTATCGCTTTGGGTACACACTACACATTTTGCATTTTTCATTCAGATATTTTCACGTATTTCACACAAAAAACAGCGTTTCCAAATAATCAGAAGACCGTAAAAAATAGCCAATTATGTTTTATATACTTTTGAACTCTATAGATAGATAATTTTGATATTTTGTTTAAGTGTATTTATTCATGTTAATTTGTTATAAATAATATCAGTTAAGTTTTAGCCGGCAAAAAAAAGATTGGTTTTTATATCGAAATCTCTATAATATTATTTGAGAAGTCAGTTTCCTACGTGGTGCGCTCACGTTAACTCCCACGATGGTTGATTACATAGATACCCTTAATGAATTGTTAGATTTTAAGATTATTATTAATTTTTTTATTTAGTTTCTTTTTTTACATTTTTCCAAATAAAATATATAATAAAAAGGAAATATTTCTAATTTTTTTTAAAAAATGAAAAACGAAAATATATGTATATAATATGACTTTATTAAAAAGGAAAATTCACAAAATAGTAATACCCCCATTAATATATATTTTTAAATAACATAGAATATGTTTTCAAATTAATAATAAAAAAAATATATATATATATATATATATATGTTCATGTACATCCAAAAATTTATCAGTTACACTTTATTTTTAATAGTTTTTTCGAAATCAACATATAATTTGATAAATATTATGGAAATACATGTATATTTAAGCGATAAATAAAACTAATTTGATTTGACTTAACTAAAATAAAGAGTAGATAAATATTATGAAAATACATGTATATTTAAGCGATAAATAAAACTAATTTGATTTGACTTAACTAAAATAAAGAGTAGATAAATATTATGAAAATACATGTATATTTAAGCGATAAATAAAATGAATTTGATTTGACTTAAATAAAATAAAAAGTTATTATACTTCAATTTTAATTTAAAAATATGTTTAACTCAATATACTCATAAAATGAATGACTCGACTAATCTAATTTATATCCAAACTAACCTATAACTACAATAAGAACAAATAATTTTATAATAATAATAATAATAATAAACTATTTAATTTTATACATATAAATTAGAGGTTGACTCAAAGCATATTAATAAGAAAAAGAAAATATTAACCAATTACAATTTAATTATTTTGTAGAATTTATATATATGCATGAGACTTCAAAATGTTATCATTATATTCATTTATGTAATTTTGAATCTAACACTTCAGCTTATTATTTATTTCATTTTAAGCACAATATATATTAAGTTATACATAATTGTACTATAAA